CGGTGTCGCTGACAAAGCTAAACATGCGCTTGACGCCGGCGCCGGAGAGGGCACTGGTGCTCGTCGACCTTGGCAGGTCCGCGTCCAGCTCGAGAAACTCGCGAAAGTCAGGGTCGGCGCAGATGATGGGGTGCTCGGCGTTGCGCTGCAGGTACCGCTCCAGGGCGGAGCGGCGCTTCTCGAGGAACTCACTGCCGGACAGCTGCTGCTCGTCCGCCTTGCTGAACTTGATCTTCGCCGTGCCGACCACCGACTTGGAGGGCGGCGGCGGAACGATGCGCCCCAGGGCGGCGTGCTTCTCCGCCAGCTTGTCGTGCAGGCCGAGGAAGTCGCTGAAGCGGCGGTGGACGGAGAGCGACTGCCGGCGGAAGTACGGCAGAGTCGTCTTCGTGGACACCGTGTAGACCATGTAGGAGGACATGCCCTCGCCGATCTTCGCCGGCTCGCTGACGGTGATCTCGATCTGACTGGCGGTGTTGATGGCCGGCGGGGCGGAGGGAACCTTGGTCGGCTCCGTTTTCGGGGGCTCAGAAATCGAACTGGCCAGCGAAAAGGGCACCGACTGGACGGGCTTGGGAGCCTCGACCATGGGCTGGACAAGAGTGGTCGTGGTCGCAGCAGTGGCTGGAATGGAAGAAGAGGAAGTGCTCGAGGGGGAAATCTGCGAGGCCTCAGGCGGAGTAATCGCCTCCACCGAAGAGATGACCGAGGCCACCGGAGCCGAAGAGGGCAGGGGTGGCGGCGGAAGAGAAGAAGAGGCGGCGGCCGGTGATGGTGACGACGACGACGGCTCATTCAGATCGATCGTGTTCATCAGATCGTCCAGGGCGGCCGCCGGGGCTGGCTCGGCAGGCTTTGGAGCCGCAACAACGGCGGGAACGCTCTGGAATGTAAATAGAAACGGTTTAGCAAAAAGGTAAATAGAAACTATCAAAACCTTCTCCTACCTCATAGGTGGACACAAAGAGGTCCTCCGAGTCCTCCTCCTCGACGGCCTCGGGCGAGGAGCCGACGCCGTTCAGCGGATTCTTCGTCACCGACGTCTCGGCGCTGTCCTTCTCATTTTCCGATGGATCAAACATTGTTACTGTGGTTGTTGTTGACGGTATTCAGTATTCGGTGACGACTGAGGAGAACTACAACGACGATGATGATGGGAACTGTTGGACTACAGTTGAGAGGGTGTTTCACCAGAAGGAAAAGGCAAGGGAGAGCAGATGACAAATGGCAAAGAGAGAGCGATGACAGAAGTCGAGTTGTGGTGGTGGTGGTAGTGCTGGTGACAACACTGAAAGCTCAATGAGCGCTCAATCGGTGCAAGTTGAGAGTGAATGAGAGAAAGCTGAGGGAGAGACAATGCTCGCCGATGATATCGCCTCCAACAACAAAACACACACAAAGTGGCTCTTTTCGTGGCGCTGGTGGTGGTGGTGGTGGTGGTGGTGACTGTTGCTGATAATATCACACTGACTGACGATGAATACGCCTTCTGTTTTCTGGTGGTAGTGGTGATGGGTGATCTGGTGAGCTGGCGACACTGCCGCCGGTGACGATTAGGATGACACTGAGATTCAACTCAGCGAACTCAGAGAGATTGACAGAGCGTCCTCAAACTTGACAGCCAAACTTGTTGGCCTCCTGCTGCTGCTGACACTGACTCGTCAAACTGTCTGACTGACTGGCTGGCTGGTTGGTTGGCAGAGCGTAATCCTGGCGTAGCACCCGAATTGGCAGAGAGAACGAGAAAGGGAGAGAGTCCAATGGAGCGAGAGAAATAGAAACGGCGTCGCTGAAGAAACTGCAGAGACTGAAGGCGAAGAAGGCGAGAGAAGCTCAATGTTTGGGTGGGAGAGCAGCCTTCTGTCGCCGCTGCTTCTACTTCCAGACAGTGGCGCCACCCAGTGCGCAGCGGCCGCAACTAAAACGCCCAACGCGGACAGATTTGCCTCCGGTGAATCACAACAAATCAGTTTTTTCACCACAATGAATCAACAGCAATAAAAATGTGTCCGGTGAATCACCTGTCTGTCACCTGTTTTTACTGACTAATGACTTTGCAGATGACAGAAGAAGAAAAAAGTACTCCAAACAAACACACACTAGTGCGGCGAGTTGACGTCCTCCTCGTAGAGAAAGTAGATCCTCACCACCTGATCCTTATCATCCTTTACCGCCACATCTCGATAGTGTCTGATCAGCAGGTGGCCGGCCAGTCCGTAGGCCAGTGTCGGCACGCCCAGGTTCATCGCCTTTAGAGCCCGGTAAAGTCGATCCTCGCCGGAAAGGTCCTCCACCGGCCGCCTCGAGCAGTGGTACTTGATGTACCAGGGCCAGCAGCCGATGCGGAGGATGTGGTAGTTGACGCCCGCCTCGTTGCGCCAGTTGAAGTGCGAGTAGCCGTACTGGTCGTTCACTACCGAACGGTAAGGGACAAAGTAGCTGGTCCAGTAAGGGGAGGGCCGAAGGGCGGCGGTGAGGACCTCGGAGGCAAACGGTAACTTTGAGGGCTCTGATTTCGAACTTCTCTTGAGGATGACATTCTTGAGCTTGTGAAGTGGACTGAATCGAGGAGGTGTGATTAGTTGATGAGGTACTGAAAAGGATTTCATCCTCCTCTCCAAAAAGTGTCAGCGCTAGTAAGCCCCGTTCTGTTCACGTGCTGAGAAGTCGGCAACCAACTCAGCACGCTACTCGCATAACTGTGGGAACAGCCCTCACTGAAGAGAGAACTGCCCAAAGACCAGGACTGTGTGAGCTAGAGAGACCAGTAGGCTCGGGAACTGAATCCTTCGTCGCCCAAGAGAGTATGGCACTCCTGAGACTCGACTGTGGTGTTTGTGGAGCCAGGTACTTGCTACCAATCGGTCCGGGGACTTTCCGCGAAGGATGCGCCAGGCCAACGACGAGGGCTGACTGACGACCTTCGACGCGAGTCAGCGCGACACCTATTGAGTGAGGTAGGCAGGAGCGGCTTTTATAGTCGCCCAGGCGGGAGGACTGCAGACGGTACAGGCGGTAAGGGGGTGAATGGGTCGAGGTTTTTCCTGGTTCACCGATACTGATGATCAGGGTGAAGGTGGTGAAAATGGGTTTCCGAGGTAAAGGAGGGCCGCTTTGTGAATAGGAAAACGTGTGTTTCACTTCTGTTTTTGATTTGGCCGAGTCTAGAGAAGGAGGTACAAAAAGTGATTTTACTTAATCAAGTGATCAGATAGTCTAGCAAAGAATCCTTACCGGCAATTCTGGTAGTTCCAAATCATCAACCAGAACCAAACAGAATCTAGAAAAACAACTTGAAACAGAAAAGATAGAATCTTTCCTAAACACTTTCAAAACAAACCCGACAATCGACTATCGATTCAAATACCACTGATACCTAGGCGAAAAAATCACAACAAAACAATCGACTCCGCCGATTTTGCGCCTCTTCTTTCACTCACTCACTTTCTTTCTTCAGGATTCGTTCCAGAGAATTCTCATCCCTCCACCCAAAAAGAACCAGTTCGACCCGATCTCACCACCACCACCATGGGAGGAAAGAAGAGCAAGAGGAAGCCGGTGGCGCCGAAGAAGCCCACCCAGCCGCTGGACGTCCTCTTCAACTGTCCCTTCTGCAACCACGAGAAGAGCTGCGAGGTGAAGCTGGATCGGCCTCGGAACGCCGGCCACATCTTCTGTCGGATCTGCCTGGAGGACTTCAAGACGACCATCAACTACCTGTCGGAGGCGATTGACGTCTACACCGAGTGGATTGACGCCTGTGAGAATGCCAATGACTAGCTGACAGGATTAGACTAGATTCGATTCAGTTCGATTTCTGACCTCACTCTGAACACACCGACCACTGGCTCCCACATAATACACACCTAAGCGTACTGTCTCTCTCTTTTTGGAACCACATTCTTTGGAATTCTTTTCTTCTCTTCTCTTCTCTTTAGCTGATCATCTCATCCTCAAATGAGTCATCTCATACCCAAAAAAGTGTCACTTTCCCTTCCTCCTCATTTGTTTTGAATAAAAAAAAGTAAAAAACTGCAGTCAAACTTCGATACTGGTGTTTTGGTGTTTATTTTACATTAATGGTTGAAAATAAATGAATGAAGAGATTACAAAAAAATATGGGTAAAATGTGAGATGCAGGTCAGTGTACACAGAGAGGGGGAATAAGTAGTAGTGGGGTGGTGGTGGTGGAATAAGATGAATGAAGAAAATTCAATGGAGAAAGAGGAAATAAAATGAAGAGGGAAAAAGTGGAGGGGAAGAAAAACACCAAACGTTGTCGTGTTCTAAATGGTAGCCAAGCTAAGGGCGTCCTTCATCATAAAGTCGCGCAGCGTCCAGAGGGCGTCCACTACCGAGCTGTGCCCGTTGGCCCCATTTTCCAGCCAGGTGACCGGATTCGCTGAAGAAGATGATGAAGTGGCGGAAGATGAAGAGGCCGTTCCGGGAGTACTCTTCTTGGCTCCATTCACTTTACCATTTGCGAGGAGGGCGGCATTGAAGCTGCAGGTGGCCGGCGAGGCGGACAGCTGCCGTTCCCAGTTGGAGAGGTACCGGCGGTCCGGTTTCAGGCTTTCAATGTACCTAAAAAAGAGGAAAATTAAATAGAACAGGTAACACTAGAGACTACTAAACCATCGGTAGTAAAACACTCACTTCATATAGGTGTGCGTGTGCACGAGGCGCTTCGGGGCGGGCGGTGCACTGAAGAGCGGCTCCACCGGCTTCACCTGAACGGCTTGGTCTGAAAGAAGTAAACAATTAGATTACAAAACAAAGTCCACCCAAAACCTAGGTTCACTTACTGGCAGTCTGCGGCTTCACAATCTGCTGCTGCTGCTGCTGCTGAGCCTGCTGCTGAAGCTGCGCCTGAATCTGCTGCTGAACCTGAGCCTGAATCTGCGCCTGAATCTGCGCCTGCTGCTGTTGCTGCTGTTGAGGCGTTTGCTGAGTTTGTTGTTGGGTAGTTTGCTGCTGGGGCTGCTGAGCCGTTGTGGTAAAGTGCACCTGCTGCACTCCGCCGCCGCTGGTGGGCACCATCATCGTCTGCTGCTGCTGCTGACCCTGACCTTGCTGAATTTGCTGCTGCTGATGAGGGGCAGCAGCGATTTGAATCGTCTGCCCGTTGATAGTGGTCGTGCCGATAATGTGCGGATGATGGGCACCCGCCGTGGTGGCCAGCTGGAAGGTCTGCGGCCCAACTCCCGGACCGCCGCCCATTCCATGCGGCGGCGGCCCCGTGGTGACAATGGCCGTCTGGATGTTCCCGCTGGTCGGATCTCTGATTTGAATCGTCTGAATCTGCCCCGGTTGGTGGTGATGGAGGGCCGAGGCAGGAATCTGTATCGTCTGCGTCGTTCCCGGCGGGTGGTGACCTGCCTGACCACCACCAGTCGTCTGGACCATCTGCAGCCCCTGCGCCGTCTGGAAGGTCAGCTGCGTGGGCATTCCCATCGATTGCTGCTGCTGCTGCTGCTGAAGTTGCACTTGCTGCTGCTGCTGTTGTTGCTGCTGAAGCTGCTGTTGCTGTTGCTGCTGCTGCTGCTGCTGCTGCTGGACATCAACCGCCGGCTTTCCCTTGCTGCTGGGAACATAGTTCCTAAAGGAGAAAAAGTAAGTAAAACTTTTAAAAAATCCAAAAAAAACTCCCATCACTCACTTGGACCGTTTCTCCGGGTCAATCACCTTCGCCACCGCCTTCTGAATGTGCACCTCCTTGCAGTGCCGTACCAGGCGAGTAACCGTCGGGAAAGGCCTACAAGAAAAAAACAAAAAAAATTAAAACCAAAAACTCATCAAAATTTAAAGCTATACTTACGGCGCCCCCTTCCGCACCCGTCCACAGCCATGAAACATACACTGAAACTCCCCCGGCTCCTTGTCCTTCGTTTCCGCATAACTGGTCCACACGTGCCCGTTAGGCTCCGCCGTCAGGTGCTCATACAGGTCATTGACATCCTCAAACTGAAAGTCGCACTTGTGCTCCCAGTGACACTCAAACACCCCGTTCGGAATGGACTCATTTCCGACCGCCGGCGACGCCGGGTTCACGCCTAGCTGTTCCATGAGGGCCGACTCAGCCGCCGCCGCCTCCTTCACCTCTGCATTCTGCTTCGCCGCCCGCTGCTCGTACTCGCCCTTCTGCTCCTGCGTCAGAATCTTCCACTGCGAGCCGATGATGCGGCTGATGTCGCCAAAGGAGCAGTCGGGATTCGCTTCCACGACGGACTTTCGAACCTCGCTGGCAAAGATAATATAGCCAGTCACCAAACGTTTCGGGGTTTTGGGCTTCTTCAGGGCGGCCACGGCTGCCGAAGTGACGGGAGTTGAGGGCGTCGGTGGGAGAACCGTTGGCGTTGGAGCACTTGCAACGGCTGCTGCCACTGCTGCAGCAGCAGGCGTAGTCGGAGTCGCCTGCACAATTTGAACTCCTCCGCCGGCTTGAACTCCCGCAGCAGCCATCACGGGAACCATCATCCCCGTACTGGGGTCGAGCATCATCTGCTGCTGCTGGGCCTGAACTTGAGCCTGGGCCTGCGCTTGAAGTTGAAGCTGAGCCTGCTGCTGCTGCTGAAGTTGAAGTTGCTGCTGCTGAGCAAGCATCTGCATCGGAATCTGCTGCAGATGCTGCTGAGGAAGAACTGCTGCTCCGGTGGCAGAGATCGCCGACATGTTCGACTCGTCGGTCATGTCCACATCCAGGGAAGGTCTTCCCATCTGAGATCCACCACCATCGACCACCATCATCTGCTGAGATCCGTTGAACATTTGTTGTTGCTGTTCCACAGCTGCAGCCTCCACAACCTGCGGCATCACATACGAGTCCTTCTGCAGCATCAGCGGCCGCCGGAAGAAGTACATCTCATCCTCGACGACGCCGTAGTTCTGGCGGACAAACTTCGCCAACCCCTCCGGCGGCAGCGCCTCGAAGCGCTTCTCGTGCTCCAGGTAGCGAATCTCGCAGACGTAGACGTCCTTCTCCAGAAATTCGGTAGGGCGCTTCATAATGTAGTCGGTCACGCTGAGCACCGCACAGCGCTCGCAGATGCTCAGCAGCGGATTGGTGTCCTCGATGCTGCTGAGAAAGACCTCCTGCGGGTAAAAGGAACCGACGGTGTTCGGTGGGAGTTCCGCCTGCTGGACGAACCAGGGCCCGTGAAAGTAGGGGTTGCCCGCCTCATCCGTCCACATGCGGTCAATGCGGCAGATGAGGTTGCGCTCCTGGTCGGTGCGGACGTAGCAGCAGTCGCCGACGCGGAAGGTGCCCGCCGGGATGGAGAACTGCTCGTAGTAGGTCCAGCCGTCGGGAGTTTGCAGACCTAGAAGTGAAGGGAAAAATTTAGTAAACCTGAAAAAGGAGTTAAAAAGTTATCAGCACTTACCTTCCGGCGAAGCACAGAGGACATTGGGGCGAGGGACATCGAGAACTCCCTTATCATCCACGTTTTCAGCAACTCCTTCACCACCTTCCTTAACATCACCATCCATGCCCACCAGCTCCTCCTCCAGCGTCTTCACCTCCGCCGAGCCCAGCCCCGTCGCCATGCCCTGATCCTTAAAAACCGAGGGCACGCGGTTCATCGGCAGCGGCACCTCCCGCGGGACAATGGCCACATTGGAGAGCACGTCATACGTCCAGACCTTGATCTTCTTGAAGCTCTTGCTCTTGCAGCTATAGCGCGACTCGCAGACATACACATCAGCATCCTCAAAGTTCAGCGGCCTTGAACGGAAGTAGTCCTTCACAAACATGACGCAGCACTTGCCGCTGACGTTGCTCAACGGGGTGCTCGTATAGTTGTCCGTCTTGAAGATCTCCTTCTCCATAAATCGTCTCGTCGGAATGTGAAAGGTCTCCGCGGGCCGATAGAACCAGCAGCCGTGCAGAAGGAGCTGTCCCGAGCCGGCCGGATCGCGGATAAACTTCTCAATGTTGATAATGTGCGGCTCGGCGGCGCCGGCATTGGGCGTCACGTACACAAAGTCGCCCACCTTGTACACCACCTCGTTGACCATCACCGTCGTCTCGTCGCCGTCCACCATCGTGGCGATTGGCTGAGCTTGAGCTGAGGTATTCGAAGCTGTTCCAAGCAGGGCCGTCGAAGTCGAGGCCGCCTCCTGCTCAGCCTTGACGGCCGCTTCCGCCGCCTCTTCAGTGGCCTCCCTCGGCAGCTTCTCCTTCCGCAGCGCCTCAATGTGCTCATTGAGCGCGCCGAGGTCGTAGTGCAGCGCCGAACTTTGCAGCACCTGGCCGCCCTTGCAGAGGTCGTTTCGCAGGCTGATAAAGTACTGCTGCAGCTCAATGGCGTCCTCAAAGGCCTGCGAGTCGGTGCGCGAGATGAGGCGCGCCCGCTCAAAGACCTCAAACATGTCCTGCTGAAAGCGGTCCAGGCGGCGGTAGCGGCCGGCGTTCAGGTTCTTCTTGATGATGTCAAAGTTGAGCGTCCGCCTATGGAAAAAAGTAGAAGAAAAACATTAGCAAAAAAAACCTCAAAACTCCCCACCAAAAAATACTCACAACTCCACCTCACTACTCCGATCCCCCAGCTCCGTCAGCTCATTAATCGAATCGCTAAAGCACCGCCCCTCCTCATCCTGGTGATTGTAGACGGAAATGAACAGGTTCGTCAACAAATCTTGGACGATAATCTTCACGTCGGGAATGCCATTGACACTGTCCTCATTCAGGTCAATCTTCGTCTGCAGGGCCACCTGCTGCAGGGTCAGCGCGTCCTTGAACACCTGCGAATCGGGCTCATTGTACTTGCAGGCGTTGTCCAGCATCAGAATGATATCTCCAAGGAGGTCTTCCACCGTCTCGTAGATGCAGTTCTTCACGCGAGTGCCAATCTTCTCCAGGCAGATGGGCTTCCGAATGACATCATAGTAATCAGGAAAATCGGCCCTCGAGGGCAGCTTCATGAAGATGGGCGAAAGATACCGTCCCTTGGAGTCCTTGTAGTCCCTCACCGTCTCAAAGAGCGTCTTCATCTTCAGCTGATTTCCACTGGACGGACGAACCCGTTCTCGGCCCTTAGAACGTTCAGCATTTGAGGCAGAAGTGGCCATCGGGCCCAGCTCGGCGAGCTTCGTTCGAAGGAGCCGCTCCAGGACGCCCGCGTCCTGGTAGATCTGCGAGCCGTCCTCGTTGTACTTGCGGCAGTTTTCAAACATCAGCCTAAAGTCGGCCAGTAGCTCTTCCACTGACTGGTACTGAGAAAATGAAAATGAGAAGAAAAAAGCGTTAAAATGACTCACAAAGCAAAAAGCTTTGATTTCGAACTCACCACATCATTCTTAATGTTCCCATCAATGGTCTTCATGTCAATGGGCGCGGCGATGATCTCGTAGTAGTCGGGGTAGAGCTTCTTCGAGGGCTTATCCATGAAGGGGTCAATCAGGTAGCGCTCCTCCTCGTCGCGGGCGTCCAGCAGGGCCCGGTAGAGGGCGCGAAGGCGCTTCTTCAGCGGCCCCGCCGAGTCGCCCGCCTTCTGCACGCGGCGGACGTTCTTCAGCTCGGCGCTCATCGACTGCACCATCGACTTGCTCGACTTGCGAGTGCTCGAGGAGGTGGAGGTGTTCCGGTGGTGGTGGGCTCGGGCCACCACTCGACTTGAGGATGAGGAGGAAGTGTTCCATTTGGAACTGCCTCTTCCTGATGCCTTTCTCTCCTTGCCCTCTTCACCATCATCATCGTCATCATCATCGTCATCCTCTTCCTCTTCCTCCTCGTCCTCTTCATCATCAGCCTCGCCCGAGGTAGCTCCACCGCCACTTCCTCCTCCGTCTTCCTTGAAGACGGTAATAATCTCCTTCGACTTGATCTGCAGAATCTTCTTCAGCTTCGCCGCGTCCTTAAACAGCTTCGAGTCGGGCCGGTTGTAGGCCATGGCGTTCTCAAAGACGAGCGTCAGCTCAGCCGTCAGGCGACTCACTGAATCGTAGTAGCCGGACTACATTTTAAAAAGGTGGAAAATTAGTAAACAAAAGAAAACAAACAAAATCAAAACACTCACCTTAATCCTCGAGCAAATCTGCGCCAACGAAATGGGCTGCTTAATCTCCCGATAGTAGTCCGGGTAGTGTCTCCGCGAGGGCAGGCGGAAAAAGGGCTCCGAGTAGGGCGTGTCCTTGACGGCATTGTACAGCAGCCACTGCGGATTCGACTCGCTGTCCTCGCTGTCGCTGAAGTTGACGGTGTCCTCGCCGTAGTCGCCGCCGATCATCGAAGTTTCGCCTCCAGCGGCGGCAGCAGCAGCAGCCGCAGCGGCCGTTGCCGCCGCCTCATCATCCTCCTCGTACTTCAACGAAGCGGTAATGGCCGACCACTTTGGCTGGTAGGGATTGTTTCGCTTCGCCCGAATGCGCTCACTCGATTTTGCAGGCTGGCTTTTGCGCAGCTCGATTTCCGCCCGCTTCGTGGTGACAATCTTCCGCAGGCTGTTGGCGTCCTTGTAGATCTGCGAGCCGGGGGCGTTGTACTTCTTCGCATTGGTGATCATCAGCAGGAGGTCCTTCTCGAGGTCGGCCAGTGTGGAGTAGGTGTCGGCGGCCTGGATCCTCGAAGCGATAGTCTTCAGGTCGATCGGTTCGGCCACCACCTCGTAGTAGTCGGGGTAGGCCGCTTTGGAGGGCAGGAGTTCGAACATGGTCGACAGCTGGCGGCCATCATCGCTGGTGGCCATCATCACCGAGCTGAAGAGCTCCTCGAAGTGGCTGTCGTGGCCGCCGTTGCTGCCGGTGCTGCCGTCGCAGCCGCCGCCCTCGCTCTCGCTGTTGCTCATCGAGTCGAGGCCTCCGCCGCCGGAACTTCCTGCTCCGGCAACATTTCCCAGTTGAAGTCCACCGCCGCTGCCGCTCGGCAGCTGGTCCAAGTTCGAAATGGCGTCATCGTCGCCCGAGTCGAGCGTCCGCGCGTCTGAGGATCCATCACCTCCTGCTCCTGCAATTCCTTCTCCAGCTCCTCCAGTTCCTCCTCCTTCTCCAAAGATGTCATCTCGAAGTTCGGTGAAGACCTCCCACAGCTGATCGGCGTCCGCGTACTCGGCGCTGTCCGCCTTGTAGTAGGCCTTCGCATTGCCCACCAGCAGCTCCACGTCGGCGCTGAACTGCTCCAGGTCGTCGTACTCGTCCATGCGGATCTTCTGCTGGATGCGCAGCAGGTCAATCGGAGAGGCGACGACGTCGTAGTACTCGGCGAGGTTGCGCCGCTTGGGCGCCCTGATGAAGGCCTCGCAGAGGACCCGGCCGGTGCCGGGCGCTTTGTAGTTGCGCAGCGAGTCCATCAGCTCCTGCAGCTGTTCGGTCTATAAAAGAGGACTTTTAGAACCTTCTTCTTCTAAAACCAAAGGAGATGACCACTTACCAGATCGTACTTCTTGCTCCGTTTGCGACCTCCGCTGCCGCCTCCGCCGCCGCCGCCGCCCTCATCGCTGCTGTCATCAAAGGAGGACTTCTTGCGCTTGCCGGAGGAGCTTGCCAGTCCACCTGTGCCGGTGCCGCTTGACATTGCGGATCAGGGATAGGGATGATGATCAGCAGCAGTAACTCTAGCGGCAAAAGATGATGATGATGATGATGATAAGAGAGAACGGTTTGAAAACAAACCAAAACCGGCGAAAACTGGGATAGAAAGTCGCGCTTGAAAGATGGAAACGAGAGAGAGAGAGAGAAACAGAAATCACAACACACAAAGACCGCCGAGCAGCGAAGTACTGGGAAAGGTGGGGAGGCGGCAATTTACACACAAGGCGTCGCGGGCAGCGCGCCGCGCCTGAGCTGGCCAGGTGAAAGTAGCCACTCGCAGGGCGCCAACTTTTTTTTCGAAGTCCAAAAGTGAAAGTGGCATTCTCAAAATATAATCAAGTTTTTGATTGATTTTTGTTATGAAACAAAAAACAGAGATTCTTTTTTATTGGATCTTATTACATTTTTGCAACATAAAATTAAGTAAAATTTTTAATTTTTAAAACAAAATGGTGTTGTGTTTTGCATAACAAGAGTATTGAAGAAACTTATTTATCGTCAAGTTGTTTTTAATTGTAAGTTTTTTTTGCTAATTCATTTTGAGCTTCCTCGCGCAAAGGACACTGATTGCTAAAAACAGGATGTTTATCATCACGCTTTTGGTCTGCGCAATTTGCGCATACAGGACCAGCATTGAGTGAGGTCGTACAATCTTTAAAATTGTGATTCTGCTGGGCGCATTTACTGCATCGGGGTATGTTATTTGGACAGTTTTTCTTTATGTGTTTTAATTTTAAGCATAATGAGCATTGATCAATGCACGGATTTACTGGAACTTCGATGTAGTCGTCTAACTTCAGTTTCCGGAGCTTCATGCAATTATAAAACGCCTCTTTGCTTATGCGAAAAATAATTGTTCTGTCGGCTTGACAATAGTCATTCACCTTCTCTTTAACAAAATTTTGACTTTTAACTTTCATAGCCTCTATTACGGAAATAGTTGAAATATGAACTGGCACTTGTGTCACTTCAACTAGATGAGGAAAGTTGACGTTGTTTTTCGTATTTGGAATAAGATTGATTTTGTTTGTTTTTGTTGTTGTCAAATTTTCTTTGTTTTTGTTGAAATGATGTTTGGTATTTTTTTGCAAGAAAAACGATTTTAAAGATTCAAACAGCTGCTTATTATCATACAGCAACTTGCGACCGTATTTAGCAAGATAATCACTTTTGTCGTTGCCATCATCACCAGAATGAGATTCTACTTTGAGCCATTGAACGCTGGAAACTTCACCGCTATTTTTGAGTGTTATCAATTCTTTAAAAAGCTCTTCAAAATCAATCTTATATTTAATCCACTTGCCAGCAAAGTAATAATTTTCACTCAAACTGTCATTAAGTTTTTTCTCAATTTGATCTTGAATTTGAGACCAGTTTTTATCACGGCTCCACATCTTCTCCCAGTCTTGAACAAAAGTGATCAAGTTTAGCGAATCGGTGCGAATTATTACATCATCATATATACTAGGCAACACGTTTGTCATTTTAACTGCTGTAATAGCAGCTTGAATTTCTGCACGATCAATATTTTGTTCGTTTCCAGTTAGATGAGAACTAAAATATATAGCCTGTTGAGAACCGTGTTCAGGAATGTAAATACCAACGCCTTGATAAATAAAGTGCAAAAATATAAGTAGTAATTAGGCTTTAAAAAATTACTTTAAAAAACGCTGTTTTAAATTTAGATTTACAAAAAAAAATTTGCGGCCGAGCGGTTTAGGCGATTGACTTTGATGCCTGAGAGCAGGTCGGCCAACGATGCAAAAGTTCTCTCTGGAGAACAATAACAGCTGACAAGCATGGTAGGGTAAGAGTGTAAAAGCAGTTGCTCGTTAAGGTGAGAATGAGCCCAATTTAGCGCCCCTAGCGGCGTAATGTATTTCCTATGGCGTTTTTCAATTTTTTGCCCATTTTTAGATCTCAGCTCGTGCAACTGTTAAAATTATAGTTTTTACTTTAAAACAAAGTTAAAGAGTGGGACCACAATCGTATGAGAGCTTTAAGAGAAGATCAAAGTACTTTAGTTTTTACAAGCATTTGAAAATTGAAAACATGAAATATTGCAAATTTTGCAAATTCAAACGCTTGTAAAAACTTAAGTACTTTGAATTTTTCTAAAAGCTCTCATACGATTGTGGNCTTAAGCCTACATACGGTCCTTGCCTAGCTCTTTAACTTTATTTTAAAGCAAAAATTGCAATTTTAGCTGCTCCACAAGCTGAGATCTAAAAATGGGCAAAAAATTGAAAAACGCCATAGGAAATACATTACGCCGCTAGGGGCGCTAAATTGGGCTCATTCTCACCTTAAGCCAATTCATTGTGAACAGAAACAGCTCCACCTAGCAATGACCAAACAAGGTTTAGCCTGTACTAGCTGTGTCAGCTGGGTTTGTTGTTGTTTTCCAGAGAAAACTTTTGCAATGCAAAATTTGCATTTATCGTTGGTTGCCCTGACCTGAGGAGCGTGAGTTTGAATCCTTGTGTTCTGGAGTCTTTGTCCTGAGGCCTTCACTCAGGGTTAATGTGAAAAGCTCTGCCCACTGGCCGTTCAGTGTGGAGACTCTTGCTTTGTAGAAAGGGCACCTCTGGCGTCTGTCAGGATAGGCTGTCTGTCAGGCCACAAACTTAAATCTCAAAAAGAATGGAACAAAAGTGGCCCACTAGGGTAGTCAGGACCCTCTCTCTCGGAAGACTAAAACAGAATTAAAACGAAGTTTTTTTTAATAAAACTAGAGCCAATATAAAAAATGTATCAAATGAATAAATAATATATATAAACTAACTTTGAGATAACAAACAGATATGAAATAAGTATAGTAGCGGCCGGTAGTCGTTGAGAAAGCAAAAAAGAAGAAAAAAAGATACAAAAATAGAAATAGATAAAAGAAAGAACAGGAGGAAAAAATAAAAAAAGGGAAGTGAAAACAAAAAGAAACTGGAGGAAAATGACAAGAAAAAGAAAAAAAGACAGTAAAATGGGCGTTGAAAAGAAAGAGATCAAAATGGAAAAAAATGAAAGTTTTGTTTGCTTGTTTTTTTCATTATGACCTACAGGCTGTTTCGTATAATATTTCTAAGAGCCATTATGCAAGTTGAGCATTTTTATATTGTAGTAAAAAATAATTGTATTAAATATAAATTAATAAATACAATGCCAAAATGTTAATTATTATTTAAATGATTCAAACTTAAAAGTCCTATAGTAAGGGGCATAAATGAAAAAACCATAATCATGCTAATTTAATTGGTTTTTCATTTGACAATGTCGATACTCTTGCTATTTAACTTGATTGCTTGAAATTCAATTTTTGTTGTGTTAAACTTGCGCTAATTACCGTCATGTAAATAACTATTTTTTAATTTTTTAAAAACAATTTTCCTGCACTCCCTTTTTAACACATTTTTATAAAATTTTTTAAATAAAAAACATTACCTGCTTTAGGATCTTTTTCCGAATGAGATCCATCTGTATTGATTTCTAAAATTTTACTGTTGTTTTGAGGCGGTAGATTGTCTGAATCAATATTTTTTTTAAAACGTTTACGTTGGCTCATTGTTGTTAAATTAGTTAAAACAACTACTTGATTCAAATTGACAGCTAATTTGATTGTCAATTTGTTTGGGTTTAGAAAATTAAACCACCCAATTAGTTCTAGTAATTGGCAAGTTAAAACAATATTTAATTAATAATTAATAGATTAGATTTTGTATTAATGTTACCGAGTTTGTAGATTAAAAAATTTGTAGCACTGGTTTAAAGTTGTGTGGGGATGTTGTTTTTAGTTTTAATTCAAGCTGTTCGTTGTGTTCGAAGCTGGGTAGAAGTGCAAAAAATTTTATTGGCGGTAGAATGGCGGAAAGCTGTCAGTGGTTCAAAGGAGCGGGTGGAACAGGTAGGAAACGGTTAGAATTAGGTTTTGTTTATTGGTCGGTTACGTGTCGAGACGTAAACTGGTTTGCGTCTAAAAGTGTTGTGTCACGCTGGTTCTAAATGGCCGCAAAACGTTAGTGTGACGTTTGTGTGTTCGGCTCCTAGTGAACAGTCGTAGAGTACGTTATGGTGTGTTGGTGTTCTGGTGAAGATTTTACATGAGATTGGGTTAGAGTAATAAAAGTAAAAGTAATGGTAAATATATCAAAAGTCAACTGCAGCAATCGTGCTACATTGATTCTGCTGAAAAAAATGTGTTTTCAAATGCAAAATAAAGGAAAATGTACTTTTTAAAAATTTAGAAACTTTAGTTGCGGCGAAAGGGCGTTTTCAACATTTGTCAGAATATTTACTGAATTAAAACTCATCAAAAAGTAAACAAAATGAGCTAAAAGGATTTTCCTCTAAAAGGATCATAAAAAAGTAAAAACAAAAATATTTTTGCTGAATTAAGGCAAAACAAGGAGGCAAGCGGCGCTGCACGCGCTTCCATGCATTTTCTACGGAAAATTTTGAAAAACGCAGTGCAGGATTTCTCGATTATTCCTAAAGTTAAAAATGTGATTATAGTCTTAAAATGCAGATAACAAACGGACAGAGGGAATCTATAGAAAAAAATTATAAAAATTACTTTTGTTTTTTAAATTTTAAAGTTTGAAGTTCAAAGTTGTTAAAAAATTGCATTTGTTTTTGGTAAGTACTCAAAAACAAAACAATTTTAGTTTATTAATTTACATTTTTTATGGATTCCCTCCGTCCGTTTGTTATCTGCATTTTAAAACTATAATCACATTTTTAACTTTAGGAATAACCAAGAAATCTTGCACCGCGTTTTTCAAAATTTCTCATAGAAAATGCATGGGAGCGCAAGCAGCGCCGCCTGACTCCTTGTCTTGCCTTAAATAAATAATAAGTATTGCAAATCCCTTTGATGGTGGTTATGATAGTGAAAAAATGAGAGTTTGGGTGTGTACACACAGCAGGGATATAATTTTTAAGCACAATAAAGCGAGTTTTTTTATTTTTGAGGTTCAAAAAGGGCTCTAGCAA